TTTAAATATTAAAAGTAATATGTAACTATAAAGTGTTTTATTGAGTCATTTAGTCAGAAACCTAATTTCACTTTTATAAAAAATAGATTTTACTTTCACCAGAAAAAATTTAAAATTGTTTAATAAATGTATGTACTAAGTTTATTAAAAAAATCTGGTTATTATTGGAAGATTCTGAAAAAAAAACCATTAGTATCGCAAACAGCAGTTAATAAGAAACCATTTAAAGTTTAATTAGTAACAAAAGATCTTTAATAAAATTTTTAAACATTAAAATTCTAGAAATCAGTGAACATTCTTAAAACCAAGATAGTTATTAATTAAGTACTGAGTAAAAATAATGATAATTCCATAAAATATTCATATTTATTATGATATATAATATTTATTTTAACATATTGAATATAGAGTTTAATTTGGGTTTCGATTTCAGCATTTTTTTTAAACTGCTTATTTGGGAATGAAATCATCCTATATCTACATTGGATTATCATTCTTTCTTTGTAAGGCTATAAAAAGCAAATAAAAAGGAATAAATAAAATTACATTTATTTTACAATTTAAAGATGAAATGTATTTTTATCTTTTCAGAGGAAATATTTACAAGGAAAGCATAAATGTATTTTACTGTGTTAGGTTGTTTAAGAATATGTAGCATATATGTGTCTATAAGATTTAATAAGTGTTAGAATTGTTGAAAATTTGTTGCTGTTGTGATAAGAATCTGTATATTTTATATGTTCATTGAGCATGTTAACGTAAATATCCTCAGTGCTAGAAGAAACTATGTAAAGCACATTTGGATAGAACACATTGTGGAATGCAATGGTTTGATTGTTAAACAAATGATGAACAAATAATAATAACTTAACTTACTTTTTGTGTATTATTCTTTAATTTCCATTTTCTTTAATACCATCAGTATTTTATTTATTAGAGTGTAGTTAATACCAATAAATTGGAACAGTGTCTAGATCTCATTGTCCAGATAACATTCTATGATTTACAGATGATATAGCTGCTCTCAAAAGTAATCCAGAAGATAATGAAAGCGTTCATTTAGATTCTATTAAAAGAAGCAGAACAAACTGGCTTAAGCTAAAAAAAATCCACTAGCATCCCATCGAAAACCTTGGAATAATTTTTGATCAATCCCTTTCCTGGAAAAACCATGTATCCAATATCTCCAGACATACTTTTCCACCTTAAAACATTTAAATAGCCTAGGTCACCTTTTTCCTTTTGAAACCCGTAGACTCCTGGCCACCTCCTTAATATTTCCCCATTTTGACTATTGCTGCAAATTATATGGGGGCGTCTCTGGGGATCTCGAGGCTAAACTAAAACGTTTGATAAATTGATTTGTACAATTCATCTTGGGGATCCCAAGGGACACCCCTGTTTCCTGTTTTTATAAAGACTTGAAGTGGCTTTATCCTTCCTACCGCTGTAAGTATTTCCTGGCATTCTTCCTCTTCCAAGCCATTCACTCCCACCGTCGGTCATACATCTCCAAGCTCCTTCAATTTAAATCCTCTGATCACTCCCGGAATACCCGTTCCCTGTCTTCAGATTTATATATAATGGTCCACCAAACCGCTGCTTTCAATAAATCTTTTATTATTTAATCCTCATCCCTATGGAACTCCATCCCTCCTGACATCCGTCATTCCAATATTCTCCCTATTTTTAAATCCCAGCTATTCAGTCACTTATTTTCCATCCAGTCCATAAAATTTCTGTAAATATGTGTGTATATATATATATATATTATTAGTTTATTTTCATTTCATTGTTCTTTCATTTTTTTTTTCTTCTTAACCGATTTAAGTTAGAAGATAACTTTTTTTCTCTATTATATATCTATTAGTTTACTTTGCAAATACATTTATATATATCTGAGGCTCAAAAGCTCACATTTCTTCCCTTGTTAATTATCATAAAGGGAATAAATAAAAAGATTATTATTATTATATTGGGTCCATAAGAATTCATAAAATGATATAATACAGGGGTTAAATGTATTTTTGAAGATAAATGGTGTTTTCATTGACAAGATGTTTCACTGGCTTCAGTCACTGGGTCACTGATTTCAAACAAAGTTTTTTCAGAGATACGACATTGAAAAATACTGGATACATGTCCCTAGAAGACGAGAAAAAAAAATTTCATAATTTCAAACAAAATCTAAGTTTTTATTTTTTCCTTTGCTTTGCTTCTAATACATGAATCAATTTATTTATTTGTGTAGAATAAGAAAAACATATTGGTTATTGTATTAAATGAGTTATAATGTATCATAAATTACTAAAACCAAAAGGTGCTTCCAGTAAAGTAGGCTAAGTAAATTTTTTTATGAAACAGCAAGTTTAATGTCTTTTGAAACTCTTAAATAATTTTTTTTTTATAGAAATCAATAATTGAAAAATTCAATACTTTTTTTCTGAAAGGATTTTTTTTTCCCACCAATAACTAGAAGATTTATAGCTTCTCAAGATTTTCTCCATATTTAATGTTAGTATAATCATTGGAAATATCTTTGGGATTAATTTATTTATGGAAGTTGGTATTGCACCATTTCGTGTAGTATATAGAGCCCTAAATCCCTAAAAATTTTCATGTGGATCACTGGAGCCATCCATTGTTGTCTAGGCAAAAATAAACTAAAACTGTGGGCAAAACAAAGGTAAAAATTAATAACACAAATTTTATTTGAAATTATAAAAAACCTTGCACACAAAAATCATTTATTTTTTTTATTCTTACAAATTTCTTGATTTATAAAGCTTTCAATAGTTCAGATAATCACATTACACTATTTCTTGATATTCCAGAAGCAAAAAATAATATAATATCGACCTTATAATAATATCGCCTCATAATATCGACCACTCTAACTTTAAAACATAGTAGCCCCATAATATAAAATCAAAATTATATAGATAGATAGATAGATAGTTTATTTTATTTGTCTAAGGAAATTCCTGTACAAATAAATATAATGGTATAATTAACAATGTTAGATCTTGAGTTTAGTACTACATTCAAACATAACATTAACAATGTCCACAGCATTAAGTATGACTAATATAATAACAGATTAGTAAACGATATATATATATACATAACAATTAGTAAAACATTTTTTATTTATTTTTTTTAATTATTCGAGAGGTATAAGACAAATGACAATATAAACAAGAATTAATATATGTTATATGATTAACTTTATCACTTAACAGTTCAATGAACAGCTCTGTATGAAATAATACAGTTGGTTTATTTTTTTCGTAGTGTCTATTTTCAGTATCTCCTCCACGCTAGCATCTTATCTGGATTCAGTGATAAATGCCTTCAAGTACTTATTTCTCGGCTCGTTGAACTTGATACATTGGATCAGAAAATGAGTTACCGGGTCAGTTACAAGGCAGTTGCATGCACCACATACCTCACTGGATTTAATAGTCAAAGTAGCATCTTTTAAGTATATTTTCATAAAATCTTTATTTGCTACTCTGAGACGACTAACGGCTCTTAATTTATTTAAATTCAGAGCCCTGAACTGAAGATAATCCCCTGGTCTGGTAACATTAAAGGAGCAGATTTTTCTATATCTTGGGTTTGATTTAGAGTTTAACACAATATAATCAAAATTATATGTGTTACTCTTATTTAATTTTTTGTAGATTGATGTTTAAAAACAATAATAATAATGATTTTCAATCTATAGAAAGAAAAGGAAAAAGAATATTGTTTTTTTATTTCTGGAAATAATTTGGGATTAAAAAGTTAAAATTTGTAATCAGCATCCCCAAAACATAAATGAGCAGATTTTCATTACTTCTCAGTTTAAAAACTAAATAAATAAAACTATGAGTATAATGACTTCATAATTGTGAAATAAAACAACTTCAGTCGTTCAAATTTATTTTTGTTTTTAATATGATTCCTAAAATAATGTACAAGTGTTATTACTATAACTGGTTTACATATTATTAAATGTATGCATACATAAATTAATTTAAATATAAAGGAAAATAAATAACAATAGAAAAAAAAAATTGAGCTGAACTGTGGAATCTTCAGCCAATATGGCCAGTTTACTAAATAAAATTTAATTAGGTTAGGTAAAGACATAAACTGACAGGTCGACAGGTGTGATATTATTTTTTTATTAGAAGTCTATTGTAATTAATTCAATTATATTCAGGCTTATACTTAAGGGATTAATTAATATAATTACCATATTGATTAAAAATACCATGTAGCTTCTCAAATATTTTCTCCAATCATAAATTTTTTCATGCATTTCAAAAAAATTTAGCTACTGATTAACATTTAAATATTACCTTACTTGTTTTTTTTATAAAAAAAAACAAAGAATGTTTAAAAAAAACAAAAATATTACAATAACTAAAAAGAATATTACAACAAATAATTAAGTTTAAAATTTGGTTATTTATATATAAATAATCAAATTTTTAATATATATATATATATATATATATATATATATATATATATATATATATATATATATATATATATATATATAAACTATGATATATTTTAAATTATTAAGTTTGATTCGTTATATAATATTATTTGTAATTTAAATAATTATCTATATTTGTAAATGCTAAATCTGGTATTAATATCTGAAAATCTGTGCTGACTCTAGATGTTTGTTAAAAAGAAGTTTAAAATGGAATTCAATGACTTAACAGACTAGAATTTTATTTTATTTTTAATGTCGAAAAATAATAATTTTTAAGAAATGATATAATAATTTCTATTAAATCTGATTGTAAATTAAAACATTTCTACATTATAAAACAAAACACAACCTCTTAGAGTATGTATCTTTCATCCGGGTGAATAAGCATTTATGTCAATACTTACTAGAAAAGTTTCTGAGTTCGATTAGTTATAAAAATAAGACATTTGAGGAATAAACTTGTAAATCCCCCTCCTTATATCTTTCTATTTTTTTTTTTTTTAATTGGTCATTTATGCAATTTGTAACAAGTAATTTAGAACAAGGCAGTGGTGGCATTCATTTTTCTCATATGCTAAGTTAAATACTAATTCACCAGATAAATATTTTCACATTTATATCCATATATAAATAAATATGTATGAAAAGAAAAACACATTTTTGGACTTAAGATATTTTTTTTAAAGTAATACATCGTTAAAAATAATATATCATATTACTCAGGTACTTTTCACAACAGAGTGAGTGGTTTTGTTGGTAAATCTTTTTCTTATATAATATTCTATAATTAAAAAAAATACATTACTAAAACAAATTAACAGTGCTACTCAGTGGCATAGCTAGGTCAACTAGGAAGAAATTCAAGGTTTTTTGGACCAACCACTATTCTAATTTACTTGCTTTCAGCACATCTTGTCCTCATTACACTAATTTAAACATATATTCAACCCAAAAATAACAAAATATTTTTATCTTTTTGGAGTCTAAAAAAAAAAAAACATAACAAACAAATTTATTAGATTTTTATTTTGGGCATTTTGTATCCATCTTGAAACAGTCTCTTTTGTTATTCATCTGCTAACTACGCCTCTGGTAGTGCTAGTGAGTACTCAGCGTTGCTTAACCTCTATAACAAAGCTACTTTGAATATGTTTGTTCATATTCTCTTATGTGATGGATCAAAATTTGAATTTATAATACATAAATTTATACATTTCCATACAATAATATCTAGATTATATCTTTGAATTGACTTCTGGTTATGAGATTTCAAAAGTAAAATTGGTATTTACTTATTTTACTTTTATTAACACCTTATTGCTAATTACAGGAAAATAAGTATAAATGAAACTTTGTTTTTTACATTATGGAATTTGATTAAAAGAGGATGCAAATACATTAATCTTTATAATTTTTGCTTCAAAAAGTGCATTCATATTGTTCAATTATCAAAATACAACACTTTTAAAATCAACAACTATGTTTAATTACAGGTTAATTTTAACTTTAAAAATGTACTGTTGCATTTATCAGCCCATGTGGTATTTAAATATACATGTTGTTAACCATTTAAAAAATAAAATAAACTGAAATTATTTTTTACAATACGATTCACAATGGTTTCATTTAAATAAACTTTCTCTGATTTTAAGACTATGTTGCCTCTCCCTGTTTCCCTTTCAATAATGAAAGAAAGTTGATTGTCTACGGCCATGTCATTCATCATGTTTATTCGTTTCGAGTGGAGGTAGTTTATCTAATTCATCTCTGCTCAAATGCTCTACAATTCCAGCACCATAGGCGTCTCCAATGACGTTCACTGTAGTTCGGAATCGGTCACTGGAAATAAAATATGTATGTTCACTCATCTGGTATAATAAAATGTTTGTATTTTTATAACAGAACATTAATTTTAAAGAAGAAATTCTGATGTGCTTTATTATTTAAATTATTTTACAAATTTTAATGTATCATCATATAAATTTTAATAACTTTACAAGATGTTAAAAGAAACTGCCCAATGTCTTTCCTAGTGTCCTCCTTCTTATAATTTATGGCAAATATAGCTATATATCGTAAATGCCAGATTTAAAATATATTTGAAGATTTCACATCAAAAAATATAAAATAGGATAATAATTGTTAGAACGTGTCAGATAACATAGGATCAATCTATGTTATATCCAGCTATATCTATATCTAGGTATCTGGATGGTCTTAGCGACCGGGGGACAATAAATCCTAATAGACTCCGGCACAACCCCACACATCTGAAAACCGCTAATGCATACCATTAGCGGAATATAAATATATAAACAGAGAGGTAGAGTTAAAGTCAAGGATAGATAGGTGGAGGCACCACTCAGTCTGGGACAACAGAGAGTTCAAGTCAGAGGGTTGAAGAGACAGTCAGTCTGAGGCTGGCACTGGCAAGAAGAACTCGAGTAAAGCTGACTTAGAGGCTTGGTCCAGTCGGAGATGATGGTTCAGGGAAAGAAGATATCTATGAAACTGTCCACGAGCTGGAAGTAACAACAGATAAGACATAACATTTATTTAGCTATCACAATGTTAACTTGTGTTGGCAATCAGTAAAAGTAACCGTTTAATTAATCCTATGCATATATAGCATTCTCCAGCAAAGAGTTTCATTTGTATTAATAATGCTTTACAATACAAATAGATTAATTTTTTATTACATCTTGATTCTTCAACAAGAAATCTCTGCATGCCACCATTTAGATATTGATACAAATAGTAAATAGTAAACATGACAACTTTTGAAAAGATATCAAATGAAAATGATATTATTCAATCTAGGATATTATAGCAGGGAGTCTGTGGTATCAAACTCTTAAATAAATAATTTATATATTTTTAAGTAGATTGGTTCATTTCTGGAACAAATATAAATATTCAATATAGAAAATATAGATAAATTTGGTTTCTGGAACCCTCTATCCACTTTAGAAACGAGGTCTGCAGGAAGCAGTTATATATTTCACTAGCTATTCTATATTTCTATATTTCGCAGCAATATGAAATATAGAAATTATTGAAAAAAAAAGTTTGACATATGTATGGTTACCAGTCTATTGGGGGTGAAGAAAGTTATCCGGTCCGTTAGCTACCTCATTAGACTCCAGAATTGAGTTAACCAGTGATAGAATTCATATAATAATAATGATGAATTTTATGATTTATTAATTTATGGTTTCACATTAAAATATAATATTTTAGAGATTACTCCAAGGCCGGATCTAATTTAATAATCCAAGGCCGTATTTGAGTATCTAATAGACAAACTCTGATTTTTGAGACTTTAAAGTTTCATTTGATCAATCTCAAAATGGACATAAGATCTGAATTTAATGAAACAATTTTTACACTAACAGTTAATATTTAATAAAAATACTCACAGAAGCCAGTCGACCGCATATATGAGAGTGACGTCATCAGCTTTTAGATTTACTGTTTCCAAAACCATGACCATAGTTACCAGACCAGCTTGAGGTATTGCTGCAGCTCCAATACTGGCCAAAGTTGCAGCAATGCTAAACGTTTTAGATTGATTAGAATAACTTCATAAAATAATTTGGCTAAAGTACAAAAGTATTATTAATTATAGGAACAGAATGTAAACAGCTAAAAAAAATAACCTGATGTTTTAAAATATTTTTGATTTAATGAATAAACTAAGTAAGTAAAGCTTTATATAATTTAGAATTCCAATAGTTTTTTTTTTCTTCATAATGAAATACGAAAGTTATAAATACTGTCGTCATCTCGCCAAAAGAATTATAAGTCTTTTTTGAAATCACCTCAAACACTGACATAAATAAATAAAGTTTATAATCATCTATAGTGTATGGTTCATTTCATTTTATCAAAAATTGAAATGATTTTACGAATATTGTATGAAATATAATACAGATATTGTATGTGATGATTAAACTTTTCTAATTTCAGATGTGTGTATGTAAGTGATCCTAAAAAAAAGCTTGATTATAATCATAAAACACCATTTTCATTTAATAATATATCCAAATTATATAAATTAATTACCTGACTGCAAAGAGCTGGCCAATAGAGAGAGACATCTGTCGAATTTGAGAAATAAATATCACAGCAACTGCTTCGTAAAGAGCTGTACCATCCATATTTACAGTAGCACCAATCGGCATAACAAACCTACTGATCCTTACGTCTACTTTATTCTTTTCTTCTAAGCATTGCATTGAGACTGACAGAGATGCTGAGCTAAAAAAATAAAAATAATCATAACATTTCTAGTATAAAATATACATTATGTTTTAAATCAGGGGTCTCCAAACTTTGTGGCCCCTGGGCCACATTTGGATCTCAACTAAGTCCTGTAGGCGATATTGATATTATTTTGTTCTAAAGATGATACTTCAGTTGTGAAATGAGCTTTCTAAGAGAAAAAACTCATGCAATAAATGTTGTAGTCACCTCCTCTTTGAATTTTATTATTAGTTAACTTAACTTCATATTTTTTAAATAATTTTACCATGCAATCAAAGAAACTTTTGCGGGTCGATTTGGAGGTACTTGTGGGAGTTGTTTGGAGATCCCTTTTTAAATTAAGCATTTTAGTCGCGACACCAATTATCTAAATAATCAATGAATGAGATGTTCTTAAACAATAATGATTCAAAATTAATTGAATTTTTTTTTTCATACAACATTAACAGACAGAGCACTAATTCAAGGGTTTGTAAGCATTTTTTCTGTCTTAAACAAATGATTAATAAGCACTATTTAAAAAAGATACAATCAAAATGATCGAACTTTAAACAAATTGGTGATATTAAAAAATTGATTAAGTTTCCACTTGTTTTTCTTATCTTCTTACAAATAAAATATAGAAATATTGTAATATTAGAGAGATTAAAACTTCTGTCATGCTGCGACATCAAAATAATCATTAAGGTCAACAGGAATTTGTTTCAGAAGCCAATAAAAATTACATATTAAATACTTTCTTATTTTTAAATTAGATATGTATTATAATATTACCTTGAACCTGTAGCAAATGCTGTTATGGCAGCCTGCCCCATGTTAGCAATGAATTTCAGTGGAAACTTTTTACAACAGATGAAGTAAAACATTGGAAGAACAAAAAGTCCATGTATAGTCAAACCAAGAAGTACAGTAAGGAAGTACAGTCCTAGTTGACCGACCATAGCTGCAAAAGATTCAGCTTCTAAAATTTTGGAAACTACAAGGAAAAATACTCCCATTGGTGATAACCTGGAACAAATCAGAAGAGAATCTGAACATTCTATAGATATAACAAGGAAATGGATTCTTAAGTAAAATAAAAAGTTAAATATGCAAACATATATATGTAATTATATTTTCACGAATATGTAAAAAAATATGAGAAAAATGTAGAAATAGACATCCTGGCACATTATAAAAAAAAAAAAAATTAAATCTTAAGGAAAAAATCGCAATTTAAGGGACTGAAGTAAAATTTGAAATATGTTCATATGTATGAACATAATATTGAAAAAATAATTAATAAAAAATAAAGCTCTGCTTTAGATTCATGTTCTTAGGCACATCATGACATTTAATATGATAAATTCTTAATAGTAAAAAAGAAAATTTATAAGGTAAATATTCACAGAAAGTCTAATCAGAATATCTGGATCAGAAACAGGGGGAATTTTTTTACCACAAATTCTTCAAATTTCCGGATTATATATTAAAATAATTTGAATATAGAATAAATGCTCCCTTTCTTTTTTTCCAATATTTAAATTTTCAAAATTAATATTCTTTATTAACTAAATATAGACAAAAAAAAAATAAATATCTCCTTCAAATTTGTAAAATTATAAAATGCTTTATTTTTATTTAAATGAAGGTAAAGTACTTTTTTTCACTTATAAATAATGGTACAGACCCCTTTTTATCAAATTATTAACATACGGCTGAAACTTCGTAGATAGTTTCATCTCATCGTAACCTACAAATATTTTATTTACGAAAATTCTCGGAATTGGGGTGTCGGCAAACTTTGTCTATTTAATTAGGTACTAAAAACTCGTAAATACTCATTTGCTTTCCACTTTAATCGTAAGATAGCTTGAGTACAAAGTCAAGAAAAAAGGTGCACTTCAAAAGTATTGAGACGTTTGGCATGACCTACACCCCCAAACATTCAAATTAATGAGGTTATATAGGTCAAACAGCTCAATATTTTTGAAGGCCATCATTTTTCTCGACTTTGAGCTCAAGATATCTTATGGGTAAAGTGGTCAGCAAATGGGTATTTAAGAATTTTTAGTGGCTAATTAAATAGACAAAGTTTGCCGACCTCGAGATTAAAAACGCCCCAATACTTAGAATTTTCGTAAATAAAATATTTGTAGGTTACGATGAGATGAAGTCATTTACTAAGTTTCAGCTGGATATTAATAATTTAATAAAAAGGGGTCTGTACCACGGGCTATAATTATAATTTTTAAAAAATATGTAAGTATTTATAAATTTAGCCTCCATCCAATTGACATTTGGTTACACACTTCATTTATAAAAATATTGCTTACATCTAATTAATTGAGTTTTAATTATTTACCACAACACCCATCTGGTGATAAGCATAGTCACTTCTCCAAGTGCTTCGTAAAAGACTAAAAGTGGTTTTCCCATTTTTCCCATCCTACCAATGGCAATACCTTGAACGATAGCAAATATCACCAATCCTAATACATTGGAGCCCTCGTCATAGGTCCCACTAATATTCCAGTCTTCTAAAGCAGCTGTAAAATCAAATTATACATAAAAAGAACCATTTCTATTAAAAATAATTTATCAGAGAGAATGTAATACAATAATTTACCATAAAAATAATACCCTAAAAATAAATAGACATTTTTCCCATTCAGAAACTAAAATTTTTTATATCAGCATTGAAATGCATCAGTTTAATAAGGTAGATAGTATTTGTATATAACATGTGACTTCATGAAACCCTGATATTAATACATAGTTGGCACATACGAATAACTTGTATACTACATTGGCAGGTGAAAAATGTTTATATAACATGGAAAAAAGTAAATGTACTATATTATGGGATGGAGGATTTTTTTTTTCCTCAGTCTATTACAATCAATCATCATGATTGTAATCTATGATTATTATTCAAAATAATAAATCAAAAAATGTTTACAAATTACAATTGGCGAATTTAAAGTTATCAACAATTTTTCGTTATTTTTTTTCTAAGAAATTTAGAAACCTTTCAAATAATCAAAGATATAATTAACAATAAATTTTATAATTTTTTAATTGCTCAAAAATAAAAATCTCACTTCTTCAGTAAACTACCTTAATGTCAATAAAACTATTTTATCATTATTATATTAGAATAAATTTGTCAATGGTTTAAATATACCTGAAGAATCGACGGTTCCGTTGATTACTGGTGGTGTCAAAACTGTTCTATACTGAAAAATAATCAGATATTATTGTTAGAAAACATAATTAGAAATACTATAGTAATTTTTAGTTTAATAATTCAATACCTATGATTATTTATTTTTATATTGGAAGAAGGCTTTTTGTTGTGAAATATTCAATTAAGATGAAGAAACATTCTGATTTTAGAAATTATTCATTGTACATTGCCCATTACATATATCTATCCCTTTTATTTTATTTGTTTACTCCCTTCCTAGGGGATTCATTAAGTGAGTTCACCACCATATAAATTCTTTCCAGGCTGGAATCGACATGTTGGCACTGCACTAGTAGGAGAATGTTAATGTGGGCAACCTTAACATACTGAAATGAGATTTCTTGAATGATTATACTTTTTTTTTTTACCAGCTTATTCCTATCAGAGAGAAAAAGATGAGTTTGAACAGGCCCAGTCCAAATTCAAATTGTCGCCGCTAGACTCAAGATTGGCAAGGTGGTGTCATAACACTCTTAATCATCCTGGCTTCACTTTAAATGTATACAGTAAAAAAAGGACAAGATGGGATTGTCGGGGACATCGGGGTGAAAGTTTCAAAGTGCCTGATTTGGAACTTTGTGGATTGTATTCCCACCTGTAATAGTTAATATTTATTGCTCTGTGGCCTGAGAAATGAAACTTGACATTCCCATTCTATTCTAGGTGGCAACCTTCCTTACCATACTATTTTCCCCTAACAGTACCAATATTGTAAATTTTTTATAGATTAGCACGACTAACATAATATTCTTTAGGATTAAAAAGCCCCCTGAATTGTTTTTCAATTGAAGATCAGAAGTTATAGTCCATTTTGTTTGTTTTTGGAAATAAAAAGTTAAAAGTTCAATAACATTTCAAGGAAAGGGTTAAAATATAGGAGAGGATTAAACATTCAAAGACTGTTATTTAAAAAATAGGAATAAAAAGTTATTTTGTTTACATCATTAATTAAATCTTTCTTATCAATTATAAAATTAAAAAAATTGAATGATTATTTAATAAACTGTTAATAATTTTTTTAAACAAAAATTATATAATAATATCATAAATAGTGCCAAACTTTAACTTACCTGAGCAATACAGCTTTGAATCAGATTTGGTGGGAACATGTTCCTGGAAATAATATTACTTTATATTAACAAAAGTGCTTGTAAATTATTATTTAAATTTAATTAGTTGGAGAAATATTTTTAATAATATATTTTGAGACAGAAAATAAGCTTCAAGACAGTTATTAACACCCTTATTCAACTATTTATTTAAATTTTTGGAGTTATGTGTTAATTCCATAAAAAAATGAAGAAACATCTTTTAGCATAGCACATTTATCTATTTTTATTTCATTCAGTATTAGAAGTAGGGTCAATTAATTATTGAATTGAAGTTTCCACTAACATTCTTTTTTTTTTCTCAACAGGTATTCCCTTTTTGCCTATAGTAGATTCTGGTTAAAACTGTCTTTTCCACTGCTACTGGAACTAATATATTCTACCATATGTATATATATATTTTTTTTTTTCTTGGTCTCCTTGACCACATCCCGATTCCTGATTTAAGTACACGGGGGGAGGATCATCAGTTCTACATCCAGTTGGTGTGAGTTGCCTCCTGACGGGCTCACATACCCGGGGGAAGGGGATCTCGCGTGGTTTTCCCTGGTGGAAGGCCACCCAAATCGGGTGTTCATCCATCCAAGTGCTAACCACGCTAGGCGTTGCTTAACTTGGTTACCTATTGCAAGCGCTTTAGCTCGCACGAATACCCCAATCCCAAATATATATATACACACAAATGTACCAGTAGCGGATCCACAGAGGGACTTTCGGGCTGAATTTACTAGCATTTGAGAAATTTTTGTTCTTAATTAAAAAAAATTTTTACCTGACTAGATCGAGGAGTGTGTCAGTAGTGGTGCTATTCCTAGCAGCACCGAGATCTTTAGGAGCGGCATAGATGTCGGGGTTGCCGGGATGGATCAAAGAGACCAGGATGACTCCTTCAATGACGGCCGAACCGGTGGAGGCCGCATAGTAGAGGATTGCTCTCAGCCCAATCTTCCTCGACAACGAGAGGTCCAAACCACCAACGGCAGCGGTGATCGAGGACACCATCAGTGGGATGATGAGCATCTTCAGCATCCGAAGAAAGAGTTCTCCCGGGAACTGCATGTACATCACGTATCTTGGTCTCCATGGCCTTTCAATCAAGAACATTTGTTATTCGCAATCTTAAAAATATTACTTGTTAAAAATAATAAATAATGGATACAGGTTAAATTTATTGTCTTATAAACAAGCTTTTGACAACTTACTTTCCTTCAGCGTTCGCTCTCAGTGTGAGGCCGACGATCACACCAAGCGCAGTGCAGACCACCGTCATGATGGGCAGGAAACCCTTCTTGAAGGTGTGCCAGAACCCCTTCTTCCTCTCTCGCCTCTCTTCTGGTTCCTCCATCTTCACTAAAAAATTACAGAAATAATATAATTTAACTTTAATAAGAACTTTACAGGTCAACTTTAATTTTAATAACACACATATATATCATATTCTTCTTAATCTAGTCTCTCTCCAGCGTATAAGGGACCTACTTGTAGAACCTGATCCAAGTGTACAAACTGCATATCATAGTCTAGAAACTCTAGACAAAGATTCTGCAAGTAGGTTCCTTATATTGCAATGCGACATAGATAGATATCATAGTCACCGGCAGAAAACGAAGCAAAGACCAAGAACCTGGTGATGGAAGACACTACAAGACCTGGACACATTGCAAACCTACGACCGTAAAATTTAGAAAAAGTAACAGAGTTCACTTATTTAAGGCCATTAGTAACAAGTGACAATAGTGTAGCAGCTGAAATTAAAAAGATAATTGTAAATGCCAATTGCTGCTATTTCGGCTCACGCAATGAGTTTTGTATTCGTCTCTCTTTTAAACAAACTTTGGTACAGTTCTACGAAATCTTGATACTGCCAGTCCTTCTCCAGGGTTGTGAGACATGGACACTCACTAAAAACAAAGAGCAGTTCAAAGTGCTGGACAATGGAGAAGACTCTCCACCTGGAATTACATACCATGTTTCCCAAACCCAACGTCTTACAGATCATCAAATTGAGCAGGCTAAGGTAGGCAGGACATGTATCAAGGATGGAAGAGGAGGAAATACCAAAGAAGCTCCTTAAGAAGCACAAGAAGGAAAGGAAGGCCTAGATTACGTTGGTTTGATGGTCTGGCTGAAAATCCAAGAGGTATTCTCGGAATAAGGAACTGGATGGGATCAGCACAGAGCAGGAACAATTGGCGGAAGCTGCTTGAGGAGGCCAGGACTCGAGACCGGGTTGTAGAGCCATTATGATATTATTATGAATATTTCAGGTAAAAAACTGATGGATTAGTGACTCGTTTATGTAACAGCTCCGACCTTAGACATTCGGCACCCACTGGCAATGACGTCAAATCTCCCCTCAAAAAAATTAATTTATTTTTTAATCTGTTTTATATTAAGTAATATTTGAATTTTATTCCATTCAATATTTCTTCAACAACAGTTTATTGATAGGCTAAAATTAATTATTTTAATACGTTTTACATTTTTTTTTTATTTCTAACAAGTGGCGATCGCTCCTGAAAACCGGTCGGCGCTCTGTTGCAATTGTCCCGGTTGCCCTGCCCTGCACTGACGTCCGGCATTAACATTGTTTTCTAAAATAATGCAAACAACAAACGTGCAAACCTCTCCTCCCAATATTTTAACAGGGGAGTCAGAGTTTCAATGACTTTCTAATAATTCACAGGCATTTACTTTCAGAAATAACTTGCAAAAGAGTTCAATAAACCATACAAGTAATAATGTCGTTCTAGCCTGTCATATTTTTTTCCGTGCGTTATGTTGCATAAACAAACACACACATATGTAAAACCAAAAACCATAAACTTATATTTTTATCTTCTGAGAGTTCAATTTCAAGTTCAATTTCTTTGTTGAAGCTTTTTCCTTATGTTTCCGAAAACATCTTCAGAAACTACAAGAATTATAGTTCACAGAAGTATGAGAGAAAATATTGAAAAAGAGAATTGGCTTCTCATGAAGAAAAAATCTTGAAGAATATCTAACCAATAAAACAGGAAAGGAGTTTAAAAACTACATAATAATTGCGGTTAGACGAGTCTGAAAGATGATTCAGGTATATCTTTAAAAATAATATTTGTATTTAGCTGTGGAGCTTGTTTGTTTGAAATTTCAGGAAATTCCAGTCCAATTAGAAAAATTCTTTTTGTGTTAGACTGTTGACTGAGGAACACTTCAGGTATTGTAACATCACGCTAGGACCCAAAGGATTAACAGTAGCAGTAACCATAATCGTTAAGTAGGAACACTGTAGGACATCATAATAGAACACTTTCATGTGGATATCGTTTACAGTCAATATAAATTAAAAGAATGAATAATCTTTTAAGCATATTGGAGTCGATTTAAGAGAAGTCTGTGTTTCCCTATGGATATCTATATCTCACCATTCCTAGGTCTTTTTTTTTATTTATGCATATATTTCGAATGCTATTTAGTAATTCACATGCTTTTGAATATTTACTCTCTCTCTCTCTCTCTCTCTCTCTCTCTCTATATATATATATATATATATATATATATATATATATATATATATATATATTATATATATATATATATATATATATATATATTTATACATTTATTTATTTATTTGACGCGAAACAGCCCTGAAGGACTACGCGACTATGGAACGGGTTTCTTTTTCAATTTCCTCTTTTCTGCCCATCTCTGCTTGAGGATCTCGCTAAATTTTTTCTTCCTCTCCTCCATCCACTTCCTCCTGGAAGGAAGTTTCTTACTGTCAACCACATGCACCGCACTTTTCAGGAATTTGTTGTATTCTGTCCTATCCTCACGTAATTCTCGTGTTATCCCAAGCCTCTGTATTTCCTGTTTTATTTGTACCGTATATCCATGGTTAAACTTGTATTCCATAATCCTACTGAAAATCTTCTTGTTTAACCTCTCCTCGGTCATTCTTTGCATAGGATAGGTTACAAGGATGTTGTTGGAAGGAAGTTCCTTACTGTCCACCACATGCACCGCACTTTTGAGGAATTTCTTGTAATACAATTTTTGTAAAATGGTACAATTTTTGTTTTTCATAAATGAACCTAAATATTTAAAAAAAAAATTATATGAAAATAAATTTATTTCTGAAACAGGACGTTTCTTTTTAAGGAAGGAATGTAATGAAAATTGCATTTCTTAAGTATTCTTATAAAAATAATTCATCAAAAGCTATTGTAACCGTTTAAATAAAATAGAATTTAAAAATAAATTTATTTTATCGTACTAGTATTGTAAACAAAAAGCTAACTTTTTATAGTTCAGTGCTTATTATTATTGTAAATTTATTCACATTCTTCTTAGCGTGAAATACAAATATATATATATATATATATATATATATATATATTCAAATTTAAATGCTATTTACACCACCTGGACAAACGTCTAACTTCCTCATGGAATCCTCATACCAGACTGAAACGACTAGAAACCGCACAACGTTTACGACTACTGCAGCACTTACTAGACAAACGCTCTAACCTTTAAATTAATTAGAAAAGACTCATATGCATTACCAAAATAAGACCTATTTGGACCTGCGGAGTTGAGCTTTGGGGCTCCACTAAACCATCGAATTCCTCTCATATCAAATCTTTACAATCCAAAATCCTTCGTAAAATCCTTAATGCTCCTTACTTCGTAACAATTAAAATAATCCACAATGACCTGAATGTTCCATATGTTTCCGATTTGGCCCAATCCAGATACCTATCCTTCCATGATAAACTTCAGAACCATCCTAATCCTCTCGTTTCTAACCTTGCTTCCTCCTCGATTCCTGATAACCCTCCTAGGCGTCTGAAAAGAAGATGGTCTCGTGATCTCCTAATTTAGAAACTTTATTAGAGTGCTACCAATGGGTAGATTCTCTACAAGCCTTGTTATGTCATGTATTTATCTGTATCGTATTTGCTGAATATATATTAAATGTACAGTCGTAAATTTCATAAACAATAATAATAAAAAAATGCTATTTAATAAAACATTAATTATTAAAATATTTATACTTTAACTGCCAAATAGATAATGAAGCTGATTTTTTAAGGGATTTTAAACATATCTGAATATTAAAATGCCTGATAAATTGGTAGAAAGAAGGTTAAAATACCCATTTATTTTTATTAACCTGTTCTCGGAACAAAATCTGTCCAAATAAGCCTGAATAGGGTTTATTTAATTATGCAATAAATTAAGTTCATGATTAAACGTTCCAATTTTACAAACGATTAATCTAGATGGCTAAATATGACACCCAACGGAAAATATCTTCGATTCTTTTTGTTTTTTTATTATTATCTTGTCCTTGTGCCGTAGTTATAGCCCACCCATTCTGTTTGTAAGGTAAGAATTTGAATTCATTAGCGATGATCTCACAGGTGTTTAATATTCTCTCACTCCTAGCATACTGATCTCCTTCTTATTAATTTATTTATACAGTGGGTACCTTACCCTTACAAAACAGAAGCCGTTTGTCAGTTGTTATTTGGCACCTGGAGGGCCAGGCAAGAGGAATTTTATTTTGGACTGATTCCAATGGCATTGGTCTGGTCATGGAACCTATAGAATAAGAAACAACCTAGCCACAGTTGGAACAACGAATGATGAATTCATAGTTTTCGTTTATATTTGAAATTTTGTTGTACATTTTAAAAATGGAGGATAAGTTTTCTCTAGTTCGATTGTTTTAGTAACAAAACATTTTAGTAAAATTTAAGTATTATAATTCTGAACAAACTATTTTGGCCAAAATATCATTGCCTTATAAACTATTCTAGTGACACATTTATCTCTGGGCGATTTAAATTTACTTTTTATCATAGTCTGACGGGTTTGAACAAATACACCATTTTTTATTAATAATATTCAATTAGACAGACCCATACCATCTTTATTATAATAATCTCTCTAATATACAAAAAAATTAGAAACAATCCGTCTTAAAATCTCCGAGGAAAAAGTACTGTGTGTTTAAAACATTAAATTTCTGCACCAAATCGTCCGATATTAGTGGGGTTTTTTTCAGCGTAAAATTATTAATGAAAATTCGTATTTGAGGGTTTATCGAGATGCTAAATAAGAATCTTAATTCTGTTAAAAAATATCTGAACCAACTTTGCTCTTTTGTCCAGTATAAATTGTTTAATTTCGGAGATAATTCTTTTCGATTTCGATGTGTTATTTTTATTTTACTGGAAATTCAGAAAGCTTTTAAATAACTATGGGTTTTTTACACAATAAAAAATTGTGTACTTTTTGACTTATTTGCAAATATAGTTCTGAATCCATCGTAATATTTTTTCATACCCTTTTCGGGGAAGAACTTTAT